TCATTTCTCTTTCCCACTTTTGTGTGTTGCCTCATCTCCACTTGGTGACTCTTCAGACTTTATCATGTCTTGGCCATAAGGTGACAGCAGGGACTGAAATCTTCGGCCAAACTGATCATGTTGGATGTCCCCAACATGACCTGCCTTGGGTTCACTGGAATAGCTCAGGGCTTCTCAGACATCTGTCTTTTCACATCTCTTTCTGTAAAGCTAGTGTAGACTTCCTCACAGCATGGAGGACTCAGAATACATTCCTGACACAGCTTTTTGCTTCCAAGACACTCTGAGACTTTTTCTGATCTATTCTTAACATTGTCATACATCACCACTATCCTATTTAGTATATGAAGCCAACACTGTTTGTTCTATGGGGCTCATCCAGATGCCATGCACCCAAGAGCATGGCTAAGAGAAGGCAAAATTCATTGGAAGACGACCTGCCACAGTAGCTGTCTACATGTCATGTAAAGGCTAGGCAAGATGGTATTCAAAATAACCTCAAAATACCATGATAGGTTGAAAATGGTCAAGAATGGGGGAAAGAATGATTATTTAATATTGTGCAGACAAGTGAATTTTCTAGTTACATTTTTTAATCTGTATGTAATTCCAATATATCCTTCTTCTGAGTTTGTTTCCTTCTGCTCCTCTGAAGAACTTAATTGTGCATTTAGACCAAGGCCAAGAAGTAAGTGAAGAGAGCCCCCAACAATTTCCAACTGGAAAAAAGTTCGAACTCTTGAAAGGCATATTTTCCCTATCAAGTACTAGAAGTGCACAATTTATCATGGTATAAGAACACACATAGTGTATGTCTTGTAGTCTTAGACTTTGAAAGGACTTAAAAGCCTAGTCTTTATTTCAAAGACAATATAAACTAAGGCTCAGAGTGCTTAAGCAATTTGCTGAAAGTTAACATAAATCATTGAAGGCATTCTAACTCTTGGTCCACACTCATTTGTGTTGCAACATCCCGTCTACTTCATTTACCTACTAGCATTCCAACTATAATTCTAAAATACTAACAATAGTATTTTACATTGCTGCTGGGAAAGTTAAACATGCAGCTACTTTGAAAAACAGTTTGTCAATTCTCACACTATATCTCCAAGAGACCTAAGAACACGTTTGCACAAATAAGCACACTCAAATGCTTATGAGCATCTCTGCTTGGGCCAGGGAGATAGCTCAGCACTATAAGTACCGGCCTACCAAGTGCAAGACTCTGAGCTCTAGCCCTAGTACAAAAAAAAAAAAAAAAAAAAAAAAAAAAAGATCTCTGCTTTCTCACCAACACTTACTGTTGCAGTAGTGATTGTTTTGCAGCACTAGTGGTCAATTCCAGGGGGTCTCATGCACCTTAGAAATGCACTCTAATGCTGTTTTGCCCCCAGTCTGGCTGATTTCAGCCCTCCTAGTGCGACTAAAATATCTCACATGGTTTTGATTTGCAATTCTTTGAAGACTAAGGATATTGAATACCTTTTTCATGTGCTCATTGGCCATTTGTTTAATCTTCTTTGGAGACGTGTCCAAATCTTGTGGTCATTTTTGTGCCCCTTTACTGTTTAGTTGTAAGAGTGTCCTCATTAAGATTTGACAGCTTCTTTATTTTCTCATTAAAATAAAAAATAGAAAAAAATATTAAGATCAGCAATAACTCCATTCAAATTCAAGTTTTACATTGTACAGATTTGACTAAGGGCCAACCCTGATTTTCAATATTCCTGTGAGAAAAAAAACAACTATCATGTAATATCAAATGGTGCCTTGAATATCTACCATATTTACATTTAAACATGGTATAACAAATATGACAATGATAACAACAATGTTTTTAAAATTTTGTTGTTCTTCATATAAAAAGTCTAGAGGGGCAAATCCATGTCATCAGAATTCATAGGATGTTTTAAAATCTCCTGCTCTATTCCAAGTTTATCCTATCTAGGTAATTCACTGCTTCTCTCAATCTATGAATAGATTTTTACCTCAGAACCAAGTACTCAATTGGATTTACAGAAATGGAAAGCAAGGACATCGGGAATTTTCTTTGAAGTTTAAATTAGGCATTTGTAACTAGTAGTATATCAAGGCAACAAAAGGAGGAGAAACAAACCTTTCTGACAAGGTGATTTTACTTTAAAATGGTCTGTATGCCTATGATTGTTTGCAGGCAGGGTCTCAAAGTCAGGTAGAGGACAAAGCCATTGAAAAGACCACCAGGGACACTTCCAAGTTTGTGAAGCTAATAATCACAAGCTTAAGATGCTTTTGAAAAAACTCTCAAATTGCCTTCAAAATAGTCACAGACAATGCCAGAGTTTCACACTCAAACAAAAAAAAAAAAAAAAAAAAAAAATGGAAAAACAGTTATAAAATGTCATATATATATTTTCTTAATGTTACTACTATGTTAATGATATTAATAAATCTTATTGTCCTTCATAATGTTTACACTAACTTAGAAAAAATTCCAGAAAGAAGGAGATTACATGGGAGTATGGAAGAAGGCTTAGTAGAGATGTAAAAGGGATTTAGAGATTAGTGTGGAGAGAAAGAACCTGGAGGAGAAGGTGGAATAAATTTGATGAAGATGTATTGTGTACATGTGCCAGTTCTCAAGAGGAATGTAATCATTACATGATATAAGCACATGCTAATAAAAAAGTACTTTTTTATTTTTTTCTGTATTTTAGGTAAAGATCTACAGGATGTTCAGGGTCTCACTACTAGATTGGACTGGTAGTGATCAGCCTATTTACAGCCTCCCAAGTGCTGGGATTACAGGCGTGCACCACTACACCCAGTCTCAATCTCAGTCTCAGCACCCCCTGGGGGCAGGGCTGGCACAGCAAGTCCAGGGATTGAACCCCTGGCCCCTATACCTAAAATAGTACTTTTAAAGAAGAAAAAGAAGAAGAAAAGAAAAGATTTGACAGCTTCATATTGCTAGGTACCAATGTATCTATCCCACAGAACTATTTTCTCCCCTTAACACACCAGTGAGTATTGAAAGACGTACAAGGAGTGTTAATTATAAAAATAATTAGAAATGCATTTTCCTGAAGCGTAGAGCTAAGAAACTAATCTCTGCCAATATTATTGACTGTGTAGTCATCAAGCGTTTTAAGACTAGCCCAGCAAATGCAAGGTCCTGTGTTCAATTCCCAGTACAAAAAAAAAAAAAGACTAGATCATATTAATATGTAAAATTTGTTCATAAAATAAAGTTAATTATACAATATCCTTTTTGTGCATATGTACAACCATGTGCTTTAATAGATTTTAAATGTTTCTACATCAGTCTATCTTCAGATAAAATCTATTTCAAATCTACATGTATGTGTAAGTCTGTTAAAGTACATGGTGAAGAGCGTCCTCGTTTCTCTTTGTTGTGCTGTTTCTATCACAATTTATACGTACTCTCCCCCTATGTGTAACCGTGTAAATCTTATTTGCATTTGATTACTCATTCCTGTCTCCAAGAAGCCTTAATTTCCATCAAGGTCACCCGTCTGTCTCCTTCACCATTATTCCTGGCTTTCGAGCCAGGTGGGTAACAACAGCTCAATAAGCATCTGGAGGATGGACCAGTGCTCAGAGTTACTCTGGAAAGTGCCGTTCTGAAGCGATCCACTGTAGAATAACTTCAGAGGAAAAAATTGTGTTAGCACCTCTAGGCCTCCAGAGATTCATTGAGTAAATGACTGCTGCGCATCAGTGGAATAAATTACTACTTCAGGGAACTGAAGAGAGTTCTTGGGACACACCTCTGACCCTTGTGAACTCATTTTTATACTCAGAAACTCCAAATGAAAAACAGTGGTAAAAACTGCAGTCTCCATGAAATGAACCAGAAGGAATCCAGCATCGCTTCCACACCAGCAATCGTTGCAGCATATTGAGTGCCCAGATTTTTCACAGGGGATATTTATTTTAATAGTTCAAGTATGAAAAGCAGACATTCTTTCTGGAAACTACAAATCATTGACTCATTGCTTCTCTTTCGGGCTAAGCGATTCCATATACCACTTTATTTTTGAAAGAGAGCTCGTGTTAACGCTGCTTTCAAAAATATTTGAAATGCTTGGTTTACCCGTATATTTTATATAATTTAATGGTGTTAGGATCTTAGATAATGGCAGATTTTTTAAATTATCCTTCGTGGAAGTTAGAGGATGATAATTTTTTCGAAAGGAAATGCAAGAAAACTGCATATTTTCATTAACTGCTAAGATTCATCTGTTTACGCCACTAGTCCTGCAGAAGTGCTGAGGAAAACAAAATGCTGATTCACTTGAGAGAGGTTCTGTAATGCCAGCACTTGGGAGACTGAGGCAGGAGGGTCAGGGAGTTGAGGCCAGCCTGGGCTACACAACACATTCAAGGCCAGCATGCCCTCTCCACATTTCCTCTGGATCTGTATGTAGTCAAAAATGAAAAGTGCAGGGCCCTAACAAGCAGCCCAAGCCTATCTTCTCATTTTTTTTTCTTTTTTAATAAGTCACTGGGAGAGATTGATATAGGGGAAAGAAACTCCCAGGCCGCTAGTTGTCTGGTACAAGTTTATGTTCTCTAAAATCAGAGAATGAACTTTAGGAACAATGGAGGTTAAGAGCAGAATGTATTTATTGGGGGAAAGAAAGCTCCTGTCCAAGAGAGAAACAGAAATCCCAAGTGGATTGCCAAGGACGCTGCCTTTTCTAAGGATTTTCCTAAAGCGAAAACAACCAGGTGAGGCAGGTCCAAGTTGGGAAACTGCAAGGTGGGCATTCAGTGGAGCAAAACTGTATTCAGCCAGTAAGATTACAAGCGTAATTGCTCAGGTAAAATTGATTAAATTGTAAATTAGGATCTAATGAGGAAGCGGGCACAAATACAGAATGGGGCCTTTTCCTGTAGGGGGTGGTTTAGCGGCTTTCCTGGCTTTTCCAAGGTGCCTCATACTATCTTAGAACAGCAATCCCTGATGTTTATCTTTAGGGAGGCATGTGGGTGCATCTGTTTTATCTTTTCTCTTAAGGTCTGGCTCACTGCACAGGCGCCTGTTGCAAGGCATCTCCTCTCCTGCACTGGCTCCTTCGATTTTGGGCCTGGCCCTATCTCACTACCTATAATATTTCTATCTAATGTAGCTGCATACAACAAGATGATTTTTAAACTTTGTTAAAATGGTAATTTATTAATATCTAAAACAACCGTTCCCAAACTTGAGAATTATAAATATAATGACTCCTCCAGGGTATATAAATGATACCTCACTACTTGTACTGCACAGGGAGAACTCCCACAGAATACCTGAGTCAAGTCAGGGCGCCCTCACAGTTTAGAGACACCCTGAACACCCCAAGGCCACTGAGTCCTTGGCGGTGAGCAGCTTCCGCGGGATCTGGGGCTCCCCACTGCCGGCCTAAGCTCTTCCGTACACACCAGGCCGGGCGCTTTCAAGGCACCGCACGGGAGACCAAAGGGCAGGGTCCAGGCTCCGTCTGCCTGGACCGGGAAGAGCGTCCTGTGTGGCTCTGGGAAAAGGCATCCCAAGGACCCGATTAAGCACCGAAGGAGACTGCGCGTCCCGGAGCAGCAGCGCAGGTTCTCGGAGGCTCCGCAGGAACCTGGAGCTCCGAGGTGGGCGCTGTGGGGGGCGAGGGGGCGCGGCTTGCGCTCCAGCTCCTCGGAGGCAGCAGGGGGTGGGGAGGGGGTGCAGCCCCGCGCGTTTCGGCGGGAACCTGGCTGGGACCTGAGCTCCCGGGGCGTGGGGGAGGGGGAGGGACAAACCTGCAGGGCTCCGCGTTCCGCCGCGCGCGCCCTCCCGACCCCATCCGCCCCCGCGGCCCGGCGGCCAGGGGAGGCTCAGCGGCGTCACTGAGCCGGCGCCCTGCGCCTCCTTCCTCTTCGTCCTTCTGCTCCACAGCTCCCAGCCGCCAGCCGCAGACACCCGCCGAGGAGCAGCACACAGGGCCCGGAGCCGCGCCAGGGAGCTGAGCGGCTCGTCCTGCCCGACCCGGCCGGCGCGGAGGTGAGCGCGCGGGGCGGAGTGGGGCCGGACCGGGTGCATGGGGTCCGCCAGGTCCTTCTTGGGGGGCTCGGGGCTCCTGGTGGCTGAGGGCTGCGCTCCGCTCCGCCCCCCACGCTTTGGCCTTCTCTGGGGCTCCGGGCGAGTCCTGAGGTCCGGCCGGGAGCAGGGAGGCCGCGAGCTGCCCCAGGGGGTGTGGAGGCGCCCGCCGAGGGAGGAAGGACCCCGCGGTTCTTCGCCTCTCCGGGTCTCCCGCCGCTCCGTTCGGGGTCCAGAAGGTGCGATTCGGGATGATCCTGCGGCGCTGCTGCGCGAAGCGGCTTCTCCCGCAGCCCTGCAGCTGCCCGCGTCGGAATCGCGACGTGTAGGCCACACTGGTGGGACGTAACTGCACTCCTCTCTGAGTGTCCTGCGTCCAACCCCAAAACTTGTTAAAAACGCCTAAAAATCTTGCTCTGGAAAATAGAAAGGAGAGAGAAAGAGAATCTTTTTCCAGAGATTTCTATTTATCTCCCCACCCTTGTGCGGGATGGATTGGTGTCAACTTTTGCTCCTCAGGCAGGCAGTTTTTTAGATGGAAAAACTTATTTCTGACCGTGGTTAACTATCATTCATCCCTGTAGGAGAAACAGAATTCAGACTGGCTGTCCTCAAGCCTCCCTCACCAGAGACTAATTTCTAGACCAGTTAATAACCCCTCCTGCTTGGAGCATTTTTAATTTTCTCTGCTGCCCCATCTCCTTTCTCTTTTTCCTGTAACATTTCTCAGTCTTGGCTGCGGGGGAAGCGAGTGTTTTTTTTCATTTTATAATGCTGTTTTTCTCTCTCTGCAATGCTGTCTCTCTCGGTCTTGCTTTAAAACTTACAGAGAGGATAATTGATGAAGAAAAATTACCTCTCTAGATGTTTAAAAACCCAGGCTGGCTTGGGGACAGCTGCAGTTTCTGCGTATTGGCATCAGCCTGTGACAGTGGGGGGCTTGTGACAATAGCAGTAATCATCATCAGCGAGCACTGGTGGAGGAGGAAAATGGAAAGCTTTATCCAGGTCCCTTGACACTGTACTGGTACCATAGAATAATGTACTTTTATGCATAATTGTATTTTTATGCTGGAAAATAGAACAAATGAAGGCAAATTTTGGAAGAAAAATTGTAAATTCTGTCTTTATAAAGTGAAAAAGAGGATGCACCAAAAATTTGAAGGACTAGGCCTGTGGGTTGGTAAAGGATACAGTCAGGACTCAGCACATAACCATGACATTGAGCCCATAACCAAGACATAGACGTAACAGAGACATTGATGTATCACTTGTTTTCTTTGGACTTCTATACCTTGATCAGCAAAAAAAAAAAAAAAAGAGCTCTTACCAAGAGACCTATTATATCTCATTTATCGTGACATTTTGGATGGATTTGGTGACAGCCAATATTTATTGCATGCCTAGTTACTGTGTGCCAGACAGCATGGAGGTAGGAATGGACAAGATAGACATGAGTCTGCCCCCGAGGGTCTGATTGTCTGGTGGGGATATAATAAACATGAAATAAGCCATTCAATAAAAATTGCAAAGGAAGTTTAACAAGGGCTGACAAGAAGTGGGAAAAATTAGAATGAATCGTTTTACTAGAATCAGAAAAGCATATGAAAAATCCTAACATGGAAAATGGAAGGATCTTGTCTATGTCTAGAAAAATGATGCTGTGGCCAGGCATTTGAGAAGCAAGGACACCGGAAGCCCTTAAGGAGGTGAACAGAGCCTAGCACATCCAGGACCTCACAATCATGGTCAGGAAGTTGGTTGTGGTTCTGAGTAAAAGAAAGTGTTGATTTTAAGGAGAGGAAAAACATTTAATAATTACTATGTTTAAAGTAGCTTTAGTTGCTCTGTGGAGAATGGTTTCGAAAATGGCAAAGAAAACAATAGACTGACCTTTTAGAATGTTGGCAAGATTGGTAAGGTCGCGTAGGCCTGTACTCCAGCAACTGAGAGGCTGAGGCAGGAAGATTATATGAACTGAAGAGTTTGAGACCAGCCTGGGCAATTTGGCAAGACACTGTCTCAAAAACACAGTTTGCAGAGCTTGGGTTAGTGAAAAATGATAAAATGCCTGGATGCAGCTGGTGTCATTTTGAAGATCAGGTGTTGACATTGACTTTGATGTCAAGGATGCAGGGAAACAAGGACTATGGAAAGACTCTGAGGTATCTGACTTATCTGTCTGGGTAACAGTAAGAATTCTAGGGTGAAGGAGAACAGGTGTGGGTGGAGAAAGAGTTTGGTTTTGAACTTGTCACTGAGCAAGGACAAACCATAACCACTGGGAGGGAGAAAGGGATAGTCTGTAAGATAGCAGTGCATGGCTGAGCCTTCGATAAATAGAGCTGGTGATTTAAGGTGAAATTCATCAACTCCAGTTGTCTGATTTTTCCTTAGCAACCTTCACCAACTTCCATATTAAAAAGTGAATAGCTGATTTCTTCCAGAATGAAAGTTTTCTCTAGTGGCTAGGATGAAGATTAGGAGTTGAGGATCTTTTTCAAAAGAATGACTCATATACACTGTAAAATTTAGGCTGCATTTAGAGATAAATCATAAGCAAGTGGATGGGGAAGAGAAAAGTAATGTGAGGTCCATAGATCAGTTGCTAAGTTTGTCAGTGTGAATAATTAAATTAATGTTGTTAGAAGGCCAGGGGATACTGTTTGGCGGTATCAGGAAGTAAAAGACTGAGACAGCAGCTAGGCCAGCGTTCTCTGCTTTTGATGAGTAAGTGAAGGGAAACCAGGGCCTCACGATTAAATGGCTCCTCCATCCTCTCAGCCGGTCAGGGATGACATTTGCTTCAGGTATAAACAATGAGATGTGCTCTTCAGTGATAAGGAATAAGCTATAAGTCAGTAGATGACAGCAGTGGGATGAGAGAGGGCATTGTGATGCCTTGGGAGAGCAAGATGTTTGAAGGAGAGACAAAGAAGGTCCAGATGTGAGCTTACAAAAGATGCGGCTGCCCCATCCCATGGACCTGGAGGAGTACATTTTCTGGATAAACTGCAGGTTGTGAATATCATCAGAATCTCCCAGGACAGCTCTCTCAGCTACTGCCATCCAGTACAGTAATTAATGCCCTAGATATTTCCACCCAAAACAAACTAGGCTACATCTTTCAGAATTAACTGCACAATCATTGCTGTTCAGCTAGAGGAATATCAAAGAATCCTTCTAATCTGAAAACCTTAGGAAGCAAATAGGAGGATATAGTACAATTCCCCCACCTGCATAATCAACTCTGAGATATTAAATGCATACAGAAAATCAAAGGTCCAGCAAAAAAACTATGCCTTGAAATTTCAAGGAACTTATACATTAATTAAAATGCTTTAGATGGCGTTCCTATAATTGAAGAGTGAGATATAAGGTGAGGCTGTGGTGTTATTATATAGTGAGAAGCAAAAGAACTGTAGTGTTAGAAATGACCATGGAATCACCTATAGCCTTTTAGTTTTCTATTAAGGAAACAGACCTGGTAAAAGAAAATCAAGGTGATTTCTGAAGCCTACTCCTGTTGTTTCAACTCAACATCAAAATATAAAACTTTCTATAAATTACAGCTGTATCTGCTATTTAATGTGAGTATCTTTGAATAACATATTATCAAATGATAATATAGGGAGCCCTGGGATTTTTTAGTTAAAGTGTAGCACATCAATCAGCATCATGGGTGTCACCTAAGAGCTTTAAGAAATGGGGAATTTAGCCTCAGCCCAGACATGGGCCGTTCCTGAATAAGCACTTTAACCAGATTGCTGGGCCGTCATCATTGCAGTTGAGTTTGATCAGCCCCAGCATAGAGCCAGTGAGCCCGCTTGCAAACTCTGGCCTGCTTCAATCACCAGGACCGTGATGCCTGGAGAACTGAAGAGCCCCTTTTAAGAGAAAGGAGGGACTTTGTCATCAGAACATTCTGAATTTTCATTGTTATGAAACAATAGGAACAAACTGTGCTGTGTGGGGCGGTGACGCATTTCAGGAATGGCATTATTGCTCTTCCCAGAAAGTGAAGAGGGGCAGTTGCGAAAGCATGAGCGGCTCTTCTGATACTGTGCCTGAGCAGCAGAGGGAAACCGACCGCATGCGTGTCTTTCAGCTTCCTGTGTTCCAGGAAAGCTGTGATGATGATACAACTGAGATTATGGGTTTTCGTTTTTGTTACAAACAATAAAAATGGACACAGTGAGAGTCAAAAACCTACATCTGTTGTTTCCAAGGATCAAAATAAATAGGTTTAATCTTAAAACCTTTTAGTAATGCTGTTTTCGATCTTGGGTATGTACTCATCACAGCTGACCTCTTTTTTAGAAAATCCTGATGTCCAGGTGGAAGTCCAGACCAATTACATAAAAACTGAGATGGCAGGACAGTGACAGGACCAGGGATCATCAGGGTTTTAAAGCTCTCTAGGTCACTCCATTGTGCCAACAGGGAAGGGAACTACTGCTTTAGGAGCTTACTTCAGGCCCTTGTGAGAAGAGGCAGCTCTGAGAGTGTAATTCTGCCTTTAGACCCACCAGAGTAGTGGTATCTTCCATGACTACTGTGGCCTCAAGCCAAGGTGACAAAACTCCAGTCACAATGCAGGGCAGTGAAGTTTTCAGAACACTGAGGGAGTAGGATTTGTTTTTAAAGAGGAGTTTTCTGTAGCAAATTTGCTTAAAATTGCTATTAATAGAAAGTCATTAATTTGCATATATACAAATGGCTGAAATTTTGAGTGCAAAGTACACTTCCGTAAAGTTGGTTTCTTCTAAAGTCGCTATGTATGTTTCAGCCTTCATGATTTTATCATGTTGATTCAACAGCCAGGAAGCGAGTGCCTGTTTTGTGTCATTATAGCATCAGTACCTAGACAAACACCTAGTGCATAGAACTGAGTCAGATATTGGATAAGTGAATGGCGATGTATGGGTAAACAGAGGGAGGAAGGGACGGATGGATCAGTGGGC